GAGAGAAACATCGACCTGAGAGAGACACATTGAGTGGTTGCCACCCACACAGGCAGGGGACAAACTGCAACCAAGGTACATGCCCTTAGCAGGAACTAAACCCAGGACTCTCTGGTCTGTGGGCCGATGCTCTAATCGCTGAGCCAGACCAGCTGGGGCAGCCATTGTACTTTATTTATTTATTTATTTTTATCCTCACCCGAGGACATTTTTCCATTTTTTGTTCAGATAGAGTGGGAGGGAGAGAGAGGAAGGGAGAGAGAGACAGAAACATCAACATCAAGGGACACATCGAGTGGTTGCCACCCGCACGACCAACCAGGGGCTGGGGACAAACTGCAACCGAAGTACATGCCCCCAGCGGGAACCGAACCCGGTCTCTCCGGACCACAGGCCGACGCTCTAACCGCTGAGCCAAACCGGCCAGGGCAGCCATTGTACTTTAAAGGTGCCTCCATGTACTTGCTCATTCTGTGCCTTTTACCTGAGATACCATAACCCATAGTTCCCACGTGTCTCCGTTTAGAATAATATGGGGATCTTGAAAACATTCCCAAGTCAGGCCAGTCCTAGACCAATTAATTCTCATGCCCCAGACATAGGCCTCAATAGTTTTTGAAAAACCCCAGGTGATTCCAATGTATTGACAACTTTGAGAACCACCACCTCAACCAACTTGTTCCCAGGCAAACTTTTGTTCATCTTCCTATATAGTTGAGAGGGGATGTCCGATATCCTCCCTGAAGGTCGTAAGCCTTCTTACTATTTCTCCTGCATGTCTCTACCATACCAAGCATTAAAGTATATTATAACTGTTTACATCCATGCCTAGCCCCTCAAACTACTAAGAGATTCAGGAATATTTCTATCTTTGAATTCCAGAGGCTAACTCTGTACCTGGTGTATGGGTGTATTCAGTAAATTCATGGAATGAATAACTTCTTCCTAAGGAAACCAAAAGCAAATTATGATATGATTTATATGCCATGGAAAAAGTAATAGTCTAAGATGTGTTTAGAATGATGTTTCACTGATGGGCATTATCTTATATTTAGGAAAACATTTCACACCAATGCAAATCAAACTATATCTTAACATCAAAAAGAATAATAAAATATAATTTTGCCCTCAAAATTACATTCTTTACTAAGCACAGAAAAACATTCCCTGTGATAAGTATCTAAAATAACCCATTCTTTCTTAGTTCCACTTCCATCTTAAGTTATGTGTTTTTTATCTTTCTTTCTCACCCCCCTCCCTGCCCCTGTGCCACTCAGGACAACAATGGTTTTTTTTGGTTGTTGTTGTCCACCCCCCTCTCACCCCCCCACCCAGCTACCAAATCCTGGCCCCGCTACCTGTGAAGGTGCTGGGATGTTGTTTTCCAAAGCCATCCTTTCAGAATTTTATGGTATTTTAGGGGTTTATAGAACTGATTTTAAGAGTTTTAAAGTACTTCGTTTACTAAGTACTATGAAAGAATCTATGTTTATTGTAGTGTCCACACTGTACTACAATTGGGTAGTGGCCTTTCTCAGGTCCTCCTCTGCTTCCTTGTCTCCATAATATGATCATTGTGATTCAAAAAGTGTTCACATAGTAAATTTTGCCACACTAATTCTAGACAATAAACCCAATCTTAGACACATGTTAAAAAAAGCTGTTTAAAAATATTTTGCTTCCTTGGGTTGCCTAATTATTTTATATTGCAGCAATGTTTCACAATCTAACAATATGTTGTTTTTTTATTCACTAGATTTTTATGCACAAAGCCTGAAATCAGATTTAGTAAACGTTTTCCAAGGTAGTAATATATTACTCATTTTTCTCTTTTATATTTATATATAAAATACTGGATTATCTCATTGGACATCAAATTAATTGAAGACCTTTCCAATTAGTATTCAATATGCATTCATTTTGAATGCATGTAATATAAAAATGAGAAAATTCAACTCTTAAATGACTACATTGTAATCAGCTACTGTTAACCAATTTTTAATTTAGTTTTTTAATTAACTACAACTAATTTAAAAAGCAGTTATTGAAACATAGTTCTTATTTTTTCCATAATGGAGTCATAATTGTAAATTATATATGCAATATCCCTAAAAACTGTTCTACTTTATCAGATATAAGCTCTGAATGTACTGTCAATTGTGAAAAGAAAAAAAATCATCATTCATAATACTCAGTTCTAATGTCATGGTTCCTAAAATGTAAAAACTGTGAATGAGACAACTATTCCGAGTGAGCTTCCACTGTAATAAACACAAAACTGAATTTCTTTGCCAAGCACACAAGGCACACAGACTGGCGCACTTTATTTTTTATTTTTAAAAATATGTTTTTATTGATTTTTTAAAGAGAGAGGAAGGAAGAAACAATGATGTGAAAGAGAAACATTGATCGGCTGCTCCTGCACGCCCCCTACTGGGGATCAAGCCTGAAACCTGGGCATGTGCCTTGAGCAGAATCCAAGCAGGACCTCTCAGTCCATGGGACAACACTCAATCCACTGAGCCACACTGGCCGGGCCAGACTGGCATGCTTTAAACCAGTGATTTTCAACCAGTGTGCCGCAAGGATTTTTTAAAACATGCAATACCTGACTATTTAGTCAGGGGCATTGACCTCTTTTCCCTTAGGTTGTCAAATAAAAAAATAACAACAAGCCTGAAACACCAATCAGAAAGAATATATACACCCCTATGTTCATGGTAGCACTATTTACAACAGCTAAGGTCTGGAAACAGTCCAAGTGCCCATCAGTAGATGAATGGATAAAAAAGATGTGGTACATGTACACAATGGAATACTATGCAGCTGTAAAAAAAAAGATCTCTTACCCTTTGAGACGACATGGAGGAACCTGGAGAGAATTATGCTAAGCAAAATAAGCCAGTCAGAGAAAGACAAGTACCACATGATCTCAGTTATTTATGGAAAATAATGAACAAAATAAGCTGACGATCAAAATAGAGCCAGAGACATGGAAGTAGGGAACAGACTGACCAACCTCAGAGGGAAGGGGATGGAGGGGAGGAGGGTGGGAAGAGATAAACCAAAGAACTTATATGCATATGTGCCTAACCAGTGGACACAGATAATAGTGTGGGGAAGGCAGGAGGGGGCTGGGAGTGGGAAGGAGAGGATCAATGGGGGAAAAAAGAGGGAACATCTGTAATACTTTCAACAATAAAGATCAAAAAGCTTTATGCATACTAAAACATGAATTTTATATATATAAAAGAAAATTATATGTATTTGATAAATATACAGAGATGGGTAAAAGTAGGTTTACAGTGCCATTGTGACATTCTTTTGAGTTAATAAAACTATTGTAATAATCATAACCTGCATGTCTTTTTCCATACAAACAACTGTAGATGTACTTTGCCCACCTTGGTTTTATGGTATGTATACAAAATAGAATATTATCCTGATATTTAAAATATGCTCATGCAGATGTTAAGTGAAAAGAATGTGTTAATGGTATGTTAAAATAGAAAAATGACAACAGCCAACACAATAGCCATCCAGTGTGAAAGAATAAAAATTATACCTATTTTTTTTTTTGTCAGATCAGCAAAAAGTTTAGTTTTTGGTGTGCTGCAGAATTTTAGTAATTAGTTTATGTGGGTCATGAGATGAAAAAGTTGCAAATCACTGCTTTAAACCAGTAACGGCTAGCCTTATATATGTTTGGATCAAAAGAGCAGGGCAGTTTTAAAGTTGGTTTCTATTAGCATAAATCTGATTTTAGGTAGTGTCCTTTCTCAGGTCCTCAAGTGCCTCCTTGTCTCCTGACTCAATTGTCATACTCTGAACACACACCCCATCACTCCTTTGGTGAGGCAGCCTGTAGCGCATTACTGCCCTCCCTGGCCAGGGGTCACAGGCTCAGCAGTTAGCCTAAGACTAAGAGGGCAGAAGCCCAGGAGGTTGGAGCTGTGGGTTGAAGGCCTGGGGGCCACTGGCCCAGCGCATCATCCATCGCCCTCACCCGATACCATGTGGAGCGGGTAAATATAATTTTTGAGAGTCACAAGCACTAAAACTGCAGCAGACAGAGGCTGAGCTAGCGGGGGAGGCTTGGCTTCCGCAGCAGCGCCCCCTCCATCCAGAATAAAACTGTCGAGGACGCAGCGTCCCGAGTAATGGGTGGGCAGGTGCGGGACAGGACAGCCAGGAAACTAGGAGTCACGAAGCCTCCTTCGCTGAAAACGCCTCCTCTCTGAGTGGCCTCCCCGCCGTTGTTCCGAATTAGTAAGACGATGCTGAGGCCAAACAGCCACCCCCGCCAGCCCCACTAGGCTCGGAAAGGAGCGTTCTAGGGAGCAGGGGCCGGGAGTCGGAGAGGGCCATTGGGCCAAGAGGGGGGAGCTGACAGCGTCCCCTCGCGCCTGTCTCCTTCGCGCGAGGAAAGGCCTAAATCGCAGTGGTTCACACACAGTGTCCTTCTACAGCTGCCCTCGCTCCCCAGGACCCTGGAGGGGTGGTTCCCTTCGCTTTTTCCCGCCCCCGACTCGGGGCACCCCTCCGCGGGACGCTTGGTTGGGTCCGGGGCGGGGTCGGCAGGCGCTGCACGTGCGGTTGCGATCTCCGCGCTCTGCTCCCGCGGCTCTGTTGCCTCCCCCGCCACCTCGGGGCGGGGAAGGAGGCGGGGCTTCGGGGGGCAGGGCGGGAGGCGTGGGTGGGGGGCGGGGCCGACGTGGTGCGCTCCCCAGGCTTCCCAGGCCGGAGGGCTGAGAGGAGCGGGGCAGGCGCGGCGCAGGCAGGAAGGGACAGATCGCTGATGTGGGTCCAACGCCTGGTGCTCCAGAGTTTTCTTAAAGGTACGAGCAGGAACCCAGCGCCGTGGGGCCTCCCAGCCCGCCCCCTAGCTGGGCCACTGCGCCCCGGCCGCCCGCTGTGCCCCCTGCCGGCCGAGCGGCGGTGGAGGCTGGACCGGGCTTTGGGAGGGTTTCAGGAAAGTCGCGAGGTCCAGCGAAAGCAGTGTTCTCTTCTCCGCGTCTTTCTTCGTCGTCGTCTCGCTTCCTCGGCCCTGGGCGTCGGGCGCCGGGCCGGTAGGTCGTCTCCTGCGAGTCGGAGCTCGCTCACTCCGGGGCGGGAGAACGGGGCCCCGGGGCAACCGAGCGGGGCAGCGAGGGAGTCGCCGAGGTCCGGGGCTGCCTGGGCGGCGAGGGCGGGAGGCCGGCCGGGCTGCTGGCTGCGCCCCTGGGCTCGATGCGTCGCACTCGGCTCCCCGGTGGTCCCCGGTGCCCTGTTCTGGGGGCGCCTGTCCGTTGCGCCCCGTCGCTCTGACTGGGTGCCGGGGCCAACCCATGAGCCCTGCATTCCTGGGTGCGGTGCCTGCCGCCTGTTGTGCGCGCCTTGGGGCCGGGCTGCGGGAAGGGAGCGGAGCGCCGCGTCTGTCCCATCGTCCCTGAAAGTGCCTAGTTGGGGGAGCCCGAGATTGAGTTGCAGCTCGGCGGCGCCAGAAGGGGGCCTCGGTGGGATGCGAAAGGGGGGCGCAGCTTGCAGAATTTGGGTTCCTGGAGGAGCTTGCGGTGCGCAGGCCCGGCCCCAGGCAGAGGGGACCACCACTCTCTCCTCCAGGATGGCCGTGAACTGTCAGGTATGCACAGCTGGGAGCCACCAGTGTGAGCTCCACAGGGATTATAGCAGCACCTCGAGTCCGGGACGGCATAACCAAACGGTGAGGGCGTTTTCTTAAAGGTATGAATAAATGGAAAGCTGTCAAAATAAGCATATTTTAAAGTTTGAGTGAAAGCTGGCAGATTTTCAGGCCATGCAGTTGTTTGTCCAGAGGAATATTGATTGGTTTCTCTACACCCTTTGCGTGTCTGTGTGTGTGTGTGTGTGTGTGTATGTACACACACACACACACACACACACACACATCTATTTTGCTAGTATTTCCCTCAGGAGCTGTGCATTGCCCACAGCAGGATAGGAAAACTTCAGCAATGTTCTCGGGTTGCTTTAAACTTCAAGCCTGTTCTCTCTAGTTTTTTTGGTGTTTTTTGTTTGTTTGTTTGTTTGGAATATTCAGAAAAAGTATCTTTTGCTGGATTTTCTATGTATGATTCCGTCTCTGCTTCTCTGGGACCCAGCAATGTTTGTTTATTGGTTTTATAAGCATCTATTTAAATTTAGTTTTTGCAGGAAATACTCCCCATTGCCACAGGGTGTAGTTTACCGATTAGAAAATACTGCTGGAGAAAGCTGCTAGTGGCTTCATTTTCCAAGAATGTAAGTCATTTCCTTTCTGTGATTTCAGGGAGTTGATATTTCACAGCATCAAAACTTTGTGGGGAAAATTTTCCATAATACATCTGTCATTAAAAAGGCTTTTTGACTTCGGGGTTTTTCTACTTTAGAGCAGTGCATAAATTTAGGCTCAGTAATGTTAAAGGATAAGAAATTTTTAGGACCGACAGCATTTTAAGACCATTGTAGAAAGTTCTTTTAACAGCCACCAAGATCTACAAACAGCCTTCAGGATGGAGAGTGGGGGAGGGGAGAGGAGCCAAGAAGAGAGGCAGGAAAACAGATGCGCTTGCTGCTGTTCCTTGTAGTATAAAACTTCTAGCACTTAATCATTTTCCTTGGATGTGGTTTTGAGAAATAAAAGTACTGTATTATGTTAAAAATGAAAATACTCCACAATATGAAACAACTGACATCTGAGTTCTCTTTCAGTATGTTTGTAAACATAGTGGATTTATATTTCATATTAAAATGGGCCTTTGGGGTTATTAGATGAGAAGGGTCCTTCAGGGGATATCTACTATCAAGTTATCTGCAGGATGTCTTCTCCAGAAAGCAGACCGATGGTAATGTGAACTAATTTTGCCCCCTCTTTGAATTGCTGGTAAGAATGCCTGAGATCTGACACTTATGGACCATAGTTATCAGCAGCTCTTGCAGTGCTCAAAACATTTTAAAGGACAGGAAATCTTTCTCTATTGTCACCCCCTCCTTTTAGGGGGTCAACAGTGGTAAATCACCAACTTCAAGTACATAATTTGAATTGGAAGATTCAAGATGCTCCTAACTCTGCAGGAAAACAATACAGGCCAGGACAAGACTGCTTTTGAAAGCAAAATGTCGGTGTTAGGTAATAATTTTTAGCTGTAAATTCTTTAAAAAGTCACTCAACTAGGCTAGCTGAATTTGGGGAGGGAGGTTGTAGAGCTTTTCTAGTTTCTGTACTTTGTTTCCACTTTTAACTTCACTTATAAAGCTTTTGGCTTTCAGAACCAATGACATAATAGACTGTGTAGCCTTTTGTGGCAGATGCTTGAAATGAAAGTTTCAAACAGAATTGTTTTTGACTGAGCTGTCAAGTTCAGAGTTTAGTGTAAATGAGTCTTGTCTCACAACTAACTTTTTTGATAAAGGAATTCTTTGTAGTCTTCAACTTGGATGTTGCACATTTTGATTTCTAAGGCTACAGGTTTACAAAAAATATAAAACCTGCAAACAATTATTTTATTACATGAAAGCCAGTACCAAGAAAAGATTAATTCATTCCAGATGTAAAAATGTATGTGAATTTTAGATTTGGATGATCTCAACAAGTTTTCCCTTTTGTTGATGAGGCTGCCTGGACCCCAGATGGCATGTACAAATTATCCTTTCGGTGGTTTTCTGGGTTCAGAACTAAATTTCACGGGCCTTTTCTAAAGTTATTTTAATATTGTTTTAGTTCTTCCAAAGAACAGAACGTTTTTTGCATTTATGTAAAGATGGATTTTTCCAATTATTCATTAATACAAACCTCACAAATGCTCTGGTTCCGTATAGGAAGCCTATTTGGGAACTGCGGAAAAAAGGTATTCAGTATTGTTTATCCTTATGGGCAAAGCATAGAAGCTTTGGCTTTCATTATGCCAATTTCAACTCTCTCCTTTTAAAGAAAAAAGTTTCAAGTGTGTTTACAGTCTTCAGTAGAATCCTATTGGAGCAGAGTTTGTGTTTTCTGATATAGTGATTGGTCCTTGTATGATGATCCTCTTATCCCCCTCTCCCCTCTGCCGGCAATGCACACAACTTACAAGAAAACGCCAGTATTTTTTCAACCTGTAATCCCAGCACCAAAGTTATAAAGGGTATGTGTTGCATACTTAAAATTATATATATTTGCCCTGGCTGGTTTGGTTTAGTGGTTAGAGTGTCATCCCTCGGATCCAAGGGTCATGGTTTCGATTCCCAGTCACAGGCATGTACCTGGGTTGCAGGTTTGATCCCCGGCCCTGGTTGGGGTCGTGCAGGAGGCAACCAATTGTGTCTCTCACACCAATGTTTTTCTCTCTCTCTCCCTTCCATTCTTATCTAAAAATCAGTGGGAAAATGTCCTTGGTGAGGATTAACAACAACAATAAAGTAAAAAAATTATATATATACATATATATATATATTTTTAGGAAGTCTTTGTATGATTAGATAATTACAAATTTTGGGAGTTTGATTACATTGTGATTGTGTATAAAGCAGTTAAGTGTAGGAATAGGGCGGGGTGGGAAGGATAGGAAAGATTTAGTGAAGGCACTTTGTGAGTAGTGCAATTTTAGTTAAAATGTGTCTTTCCTAAAACTCAAACAGGAAAAATGGTATTGTTGGTCTCTGAAGTTAAACTTTGATATAGGGGTAGTTGAGAGGGCTTTTTGAATTGCACATTATCCTGAGGAAGAGGCTTTTGGGGCCTGTAAAAATAAATAGAAACAAGTTAAAGGGATAATTTGAGAGGGAGGAGGATGCTGGGCATTGAATTGCAAGGAAAATCTAAACTTGTATATTTATGTATTTTTTACTATTATTTTCTAAAAGCTTGGCATTTTCTCATGTTGATTTTTTTTTTTTAGAAAGAGCCAAAGGGAGAGAGAGAGAGAGAGAAACATCGATATGAGAAACATCTATTGGCTGCCTCCTGCATGCTCCCTACTGGGGATCGAGCCCGCAACCTGGGCATGTACCCTGACCGGGAATCGAACTAGCATCTCTCTCAGTCCATGAGACATCGCTCAATCCACTGAGCCACACTGGCCAGGTGAAAGATGAATATTTAAAACAAGGCTGAAGTAGGGAGAACTTTCTATTTAAAAGTAGGAATTAAAGATTAACATGTTTTTAGCTGAGAACAAAGAATCAGAATTAAGGTCTGTATACAACATAAAGTATTTCTAAGTGATGTTTATCATGGAAACCTTCCCTGTATTTGTGTTGAATCCCTACTTTGGTGTTAAATTGTGTCCAGGGACTGGAACATCTTTTTTTGTCTAAGCTTTAATGATTTTACAAACATTTAATTGGTCCCCCCAGCATTTGGGAGAACTGCAGCTGCCCATGCTCTGGGACCCGAGGAACTCTATAGAAGCAATGGCTGAAGTGATCACTAAGTTTTGAGTGAAAACAAGCACGCCATACTTCCAGTTATCTTACATGAATTAGTGGTCTAATTACTTCTTATGCAAGTTTGTGTACTTACACTTTTTGTATGTATCAAATGGAGTACTCGTGCAGTATGCCCCATTGATCAGAGGGATTATTGAACACTGGGAAGGGGAAAGAAGTCACTGATCTCACAGCTGGTTGTATTACCCGAGGAAGAGAAAAAGGTGGTGGTGACACAAATTCACAGATGAGCCAAATAGAGGCCAAAGGAGAAGGCAGGGTTTGCGGGAGCTTCCCTGAAGTCTGTAACAGCGTTTTCTTGACTGCCGTTCCCCACCTGTGTGGCCTTACTTAGTGGAGTTTGATCTATGCAGCAGGAAACTAGGTGCAGATTAGGGCATTATCCAGGTGATTCCATTAATGTGATCATTGGGATAATTCTGACCAAAAGTATCTATTTAGAACCTCAGTATTCTGAGTTGATTATCTTAGGGTAGTTTTAGATGTTTTCTAATAACATTGTGTGTCTATATTATAGAACTTGAGCAGTAGTGTTTTACTGGTGTATGAAGGTAGGGAAAAGCAATATTTTTTACTAATTTTTTTCCACAGTTTCATGTGAAGAAGGAAATCATTGTAAAAATCAAGAAAATTCTGGATTAAGATA